ACATGACTTTACCCAATAGAACCAAAGAGTATAGTGTATATTAGTGTAGTGTATAGTGTGGTGTATAGTAGTGTAGTGTATAGTAGTGTAGTGTATAGTAGTGTAGTGTATAGTAGTGTAGTGTATAGTAGTGTAGTGTATAGTAGTGTAGTGTATAGTAGTGCAGAGTATATTAGTGTGGTGTATAGTGTGGTGTATAGTGTAGTAGTGTCGTGTATAGTGTGGTGTATAGTGTCTAGTGTCGTGTGTAGTGTCGTGTATTGTGTAGTGTATAGTGTAGTGTATAATAGTGTAGCGTAGTATACTCGTACAGCATACCGGTGTGTTGGAAAGCCAAGCCACGACATTTACAATCTGAGTACGACGTTTCGCCAGTAATTACAACCAGCATCATCAGGTGACAGCTAGATTCGTGGTGGGTGTTAACGACACATTTATATATTTACGCGATCTAAGCCCAAAAAACCCCCTCTTGTATGCACAATATTGTTCGCGAAAGCCTGCTACGTGTTAAATAGTTTATTGTTAGTTGTTTTATCTCTTCTGTTACCAATCGTGGGAGGGTGTAGAATCTACCCACGCCGCATCATCGGTCCTCTCCCACGTAAATCATTTTACTGCCATAAGTTGGCGTTCTCGTGCTCCATTGGGGGTTGGTCAATTCCCTCCCTGGTGTTAGCCGGGATGGCTCCTTTTTTGTTTAAAGGTTGAGGGAGCGGGGGGGGGGTTATGTATTGACTGAGGTGACAGACGGCTTACCTAAGACAAGCGTACGGGCAGGCCGACAGTCGGGAAGTCGGCGGCCATGGCCTCTGATTGGTGCAGAGAGGCCTCCGATTGGCGCAGAGAGGCCTCCAATTTGCGCAGAGAGGCCTCCGATTGGTGCAGAAAGACCTCCAATTGGCGCAGAGAGGCCTCCGATTGCCGCAGAGAGACCTCTGATTGGCGCAGAGAGGCCTCTGATTGGCGCAGAGAGGCCTCCGATTGGCGCAGAGAGACCTCCGATTGGCGCAGAGAGACCTCCAATTGGTGCAGAGAGGCCTCCAATTGGCGCAGAGAGGCCTCCGATTGGCGCAGAGAGACCTCCGATTGGCGTAGAGAGACCTCCAATTGGCGCAGAGAGGCCCCCGATTGGCGCAGAGAGGCCTCCAATTGGCGCAGAGAGGCCTCCAATTGGCGCAGAGAGCTTCCAGGGTGATTGGTCGGAAGGCGAGGATCAAAGAGATTGGGGGGCGGGGGGGGGTGGGCGGAGATTCCCAAAACGTCAAATGTGGGAAGCGAGGGTCGAAGGCTGTCGGTGGAGGAAGGAAGGAGCATTGGCTACAGGGTTTGGGGGGATCGAAGCTTCACGGAGAGGTGTGGGGGGCTCGAGGATCGTGCAAGGGGACGGCTGGAGAGCAGACGGAGTTCGATTACCGAAGATCCAAGGCTGGGCCCAGGGAGTCCTGTGTCCAAATAAAGTCTCCGATCAAAGGTCAGCACGTGTGGGAGTCAATGCACGAGGGTGGATGGCGGTCGCGGTCGCAGTGAGCTCCTCCCGGCAGGCGAGGAGGCCGAGTTGGCTGGGTCACGGAGCCCGCATGCCCGGCCACCGCGTGGCCCGGCCACCGTGTGGCCCGGCCACAGAGTGGCCCGGCCACAGAGTGGCCCGCCCACAGAGTGGTGGTGGCCAGGTCACCACTTGCTCAAGCAAGTGGTGACCGGATAAAGGGGGCTAAAGAGGCGCTGGAGACGAGCTGGAATGATGGGTGAGTGGGTGAGTGAGTGGGTGCGTGGGTGAGTGGGTGAGTGGGTGGGTGAGTGAGTGGGTGAGTGTGTGAGTGGGTGAGGGAGTGATACGGGCTAGAGAAGAGATGGAGTGACGTGGTACAGGAAGATGTGGAGCTGAGTGGACTTGCCGATGACTGGTACCAGCGGTGTCAAGATCGACCTCTTTGGAGGAGGCTCGTGAAGGACGCTACTGGGCAGTTGGAGGCAGTCGCCCTCCGGCAACAACGGAGGGCCGAGGAGCGACGCTCACAACAACTCGCGGAGCACTGGGCGGATAAAACACAGCAGGTTGGCACAGTAGGGGGGGTACAGCTGGTGGTGCCACTCATCTCAGTCAGTACAACCCATGGCACCTGCTGGGTCTGTCCCGTGATCTCCTGCCAGCGGGCGTTCGACCCTTCACGTGGACTGAACGTGCACATAGCCTGGCACAAGCGCCATGGTGACGTCACCTCCACTTCGTGGAGCCTGGCGGTTGTTGTTGGAGGGAGCTTAAAATCAAATAGCAAGACAGAGAGCCCCGGAGATCCATGCAGACTCCGACGATGCAGGAGGTTTCTTATCTTAACTTGAATGTAAATGGCGCCCTATACGCGAGGCGCTTTACAAATGGGCCCTAAGTGGTCCAATAAGGGTGGCCAAAGGTGATGTGCTCCATCGGGACGGGGTGCGGGGGTAGGAGTTGGAATGGGAATTGCGGAGGGGTGGAGGGAAGGAGGCCCAGGGAGGACAGCGAGTGGCTTGAGGTCTTGAATGGATGGGGTGGAAACTGGACAGGAATGGTCTGAATCTATGGGCCTCTGTGAGTCTCTGTGTATCTCTGTGAGTCTCTGTGAGTCTCTGTGTATCTCTGTGTATCTGTATGAGTCTCTGTGTATCTGTATGAGTCTCTGTGTATCTCTGTGAGTCTCTGGGTATCTCTGTGAGTCTCTAGGTATCTGTATGAGTCTCTGGGTATCCCTGTGTATCTGTATGAGTCTCTGTGTATCTCTGTGTGTCTCTGTGTATCTCTGGGTATCTCTGTGTGTCTCTGTGTCTCTCTGTGTGTCTCTGGGTATCTCTGTGTGTCTCTGTGTGTCTCTGTGTATTTAGGTGTATCTCTGTGTGTCTATGTGTATCTCTGTGTGTCTCTGTGTATCGTTGTGTATCTCTGTGAGTCTCTGGGTGTCTCTGTGTGTCTCTGTGAGTCTCTGTGTATCTCTGTGTATCTCTGTGAGTCTCTGTGTATCTGTCTGAGTCTCGGGGTATCTCTGTGTGTCTCTGTGTGTCTCTGTGTATTTATTTGCATCTCTGTGTATCTCTGTGAGTATCTGGGTATCTGTATGAGTCTCGGGGTATCTATGTGTATCTGTATGAGTCCCGGGGTATCTATGTGTATCTCTGTGTGTCTCTGGGTATCTCTGTGTGTCTCTGGGTATCTCTGTGTATCTCTGTGAGTCTCTGTGTATCTGTTTGAGTCTCGGGGTATCTCTGTGTCTCTCTGTGTGTCTCTGTGTCTCTCTGTATGTCTCTGTATATATATGTGAGTCTCTGTGTATCTCTGTGAGTCTATGTGTGTCTCTGTGTATCTTTGTGAGTATCTGTGTATCTCTGTGAGTCTCTGTGTGTCTCTGTGTATCTCTGTGAGTCTCTGTGTGTCTGTATGAGTCTCTGTGTATCTCTGTGTCTCTGTGAGTCTCTGTGTATATTTGTGTCTCTGTGAGTCTCTGTGTGTCTCTGTGAGTCTCGGGGTATCTCTGTGTGTCTCTGTGAGTCTCTTTGAGTCTCTGTGTCTCTGTGAGTCTCTGTGTATCTCTGTGTATCTCTGTGCATCTCTGTGAGTTTCTGGGTATCTCTGTGAGTCTCTGGGTATCTCTGTGAGTCTCTGGGTATCTGTATGAGTCTCGGGGTATCTATGTGTATCTGTTTCAGTCTCGGGGTATCTCTGTGTATCTTTGTGTGTCTCTGGGTATCTCTGTGTATCTCTGTGTGTCTCGGGTTATCTCTGTGTCTCTGTGTGTCTCTGTGTATTTCTGTGTATCTCTGTGTGTCTCTGGGTATCTGTGTATCTGTATGAGTCTTGGGGTATCTCTGTGTGTCTCTGTGTGTCTCTGTGTATCTCTGTGTGTCTCTGGGTATATCTGTGTATCTCTGTGTGTCTCTGTTTGAGTCTCGGGGTATCTCTGTGTGTCTGTGTGTCTCTGTGTATCTCTGTGTGTATGGGGAGCGCTGCTCTGTGTATTTCGATTAGTCTATTTGTATCTGTGTGTATTTCTATGAATCTGTGAGTTTCTTTGTATCTTTGTAAGTCTCCGGGAGTCTCTGTGTATTGCTATGAGCCTCTGTGAATTTCTGTGTATTTCTATGAATCTCTGTGCATCTCTGTGCATCTCTGTGTATCTCTATACGTCTCTGTGAATCACTGTGTATCACTGTGTATCTCTGTGAGTCTTTGTATCTCTATGAGTCTCTGTGTATTTACCTGAGTCTCTGTGTATTTCTTTGAGTTTCTGTGTATCTCTTTGAATCTCTTTAAGTCTATTTGTATCTCTGTAAGTCTCTGTGAATCTGTGTATCTCTATAAGTCTCTGTGAGTCTCTGTGTCGCTGTAAGTCTCTGTGAATCTGTGTGTATCTCTGTAAGTATTTATATCTCTATGAGTCCCTGTGTATTTCTTTGAGTTTATGTGTATCTCTGTGTATCTCTTTGAGTCTCTGTGAGTCTTTAGTATCCCTGTAAGTCTCTCTGAATCTGTATATCTCTATGAGTCTATGTGAGTCTCTGTGTATCTCTGTGAATCTGTGTATCTCTAGGAGTCTCTCCCCCCCACCTCTCCCTCTCCCCCCACCTCTCCCCCACACCACCACGATCGCCAGCTACCGTGACCGGTCTAACACGGACACGCCCAGCCACTCAGCACCCACGGACGACTCAGCACAGATGGGGGCAGGAGGAGAGTAGCTCACGACCGCCCCCCCCCCCCCCCCCCCCATGATTACCAATAATCACCACCAATCACCAATAACCAATCACCAATAGTCATCACCAATAATAATAACCAATCACCAAACATCATCACCAATAAGCAATCACCAATAATAACCATCACCAATAACCAATCACCAAACATCATCACCAATAAGCAATCACCAATAAGCATCACCAATCATCAATAATCACCACCACCACCAGCGTCTCTGAACGAGCCCCAAAGCAAAACGCCCTGGGGGCTCCCCCGCTCGCCTATAAATGCCCTGGGGGCTCGCAGGCGCGACGGCTTCCTCGTGTTGTGGCAACTCATCGCGCCACCCCATGCGCTCCCGTGGGGACATCGCGTTATGCCATCTCTGTGACTCTTTGTCTAGAGTTTGTACAGCTACGTGATTATCTGTCTATGTCAATGTGAATATTCTGTCCGTGTACGTGAAATATATTTAACTAAAGTTTTTTTAACTCGCAAAAAGATACCCAGAGAGAGAGGGGGGAGGGGAGAGACGGAGAGTTTTAAACGTGAAATCGTTTTGGTGGTGTCCAGGGAGGAAAGGATCGTGATAATTCTTACTTTTTATGCACTTTTTATTTACTACCGAGTCCGAAAACGTCGCTGTTGGTGAGGAAACCGCGAGCCGGGTGAGTGGTGTGGGGAGCGGTGGTGCTGCGGTTAGCTCGCTGTGTGGGGAGCGGTGGTGCTGCGGTTAGCTCGCTGTGTGGGGAGCGGTGGTGCTGCGGTTAGCTCGCTGTGTGGGGAGCGCTGGTGCTGCGGTTAGCTCGTTGTGTGGGGAGCGGTGGTGCTGCGGTTAGCTCGTTGTGTGGGGAGCGGTGGTGGTCCGGTTAGCTCGCTGTGTGGGGAGCGGTGGTGCTGCGGTTAGCTCGCTGTGTGGGGAGCGGTGGTGCTGCGGTTAGCTCGCTGTGTGGGGAGCGGTGGTGCTGCGGTTAGCTCGCTGTGGTGTGTGGGGAGTGGTGGTGCAGGGGCTCTTGAATCGCCGTCACTGGCAGCAGCAGTCGGGGAGCTCGAGGCCGTCGTGATCGACTCTCGGAGTCTCTGCCTCCCCTGTGGGGGTCTCTGTCCGTGCAGTAATCCCCCCCCCCCTCCACCAACCCTAGCTGTCGCTACAGTGACTGGATCAGCGTCACAGGCTGTCACGTGCCTCGTCGCTGTCACGTGCCTCGTCGCTGTCACGTGCCTCGCCGCCGCCATGAGGGAGGAGATTGCGGCTGCGGTGTTCTTCTTGACGCGCCTCGCGCGCAAGGGTGAGCGCCTGGACGAGCGCCGCGTGGCGCGCCTCACCGCCAAACTCACGGCGGGCCTCCTTGACCGCTACAAGAACCACTGGTACCCTGAGCAGCCCAGCCGTGGACAGGCCTACAGGTGTGGGGGGGGGAGTGATTGGATTATGGGGTGGGTGTGGTGTGTCGTGGATGGGGTGGTGTGGTTTGGTCGTGTAGTGGTTAGCTCTGCGCTATGAACCCGGCGACCCCAGTTAAATTCCCGTTCGCCCACCCACTCCAGGTGACGACTATTAAAACCGGTTCTGGGCCTCGCCTAGATCGACTCGGCCTCAATTAAGTACCTGGTGCGGTGTCGTAAACATCGCTACTGGGGAGAGGCAAAGGCGGTCGGGCGGGCTGGTGCTGTGCCGAGCCAACCTCATTCATAGGTGCTGCTACGCGCTGATGGAACTTGCCCCATAAAGTATTTCGAGCTATACTGGAGGAAGGGGGGTCTTTGTGTTTGCTGGGTGCATGGACTCCTCGACTTAAGAACGAGTCGGGTTCCAGAGGTACTGTGTTCGAAAGTCTAGTAGTTTGCAAGTCAAACTTTACTCCTGTCAATTCCAAACGTGTTGTACGGCGTGTACACTAAACACGAAGTAGCTTTAAAAGTTAGATAATCGCCTGCAGATGTATATGCCACCTCTGAAATCTCTTGCACCGCGGTTGAACTTACGACTCTGGGTCACAGCAGGCGACTTGACATACAGGACGGTTTTGTTTGTATCTCCTGAAAGTTCGTAAATTCAAATCTTCTAAAGTAGAAGAGTCCCTTTTTTACTGTTCCTGCTGCTGATTCTGCTCCAGGTGCCTGCGCATGAACGGCATCGCGGCGGTGGACCCGGTGCTGGCGACGGCGTGTGAGGCGAGCGGCGTCGCCTACGTGGAGCTGTGCCTCCCGCGTGAGCTCACCGTCTGGGTCGACCCTGGGGAGGTCAGCTGCAGGTTTGACTCCCGCGACCATAGGGCCCCAACAGCATTGTCCCCCGTAGGTTTTGACTTGACTTTCGTGACTTGCTGGAATTCATATTCGTTGGTTCTTTCGGTGAAGTCGTGTAGATAGAAAAATAAGAAAAAAAACAGCGAATTTTTTTTTCCGTTTTTATTCACATTTTTTTTATCTACGTGACTTTACCAAAAGAACCAAAGAATGACTGCCCATGGGCTCGACAACACTGCCCTGCCTTCTGTCCGTGGTATTCCCTCCACGCCCCTCTTTCTCTCATCTCCCGTCTCCATCTCTCTGCCCCGGTTGGTGTCTTTCTCTCTCCCCCACCCTCAACACCCCCCCCTGGTCCCCAGCCAATCTAGCTGTGTGTGGCGATTCTTCCGTGCAGGTACGGCGAGAAGAGCCACGCGTTCACTGTCACGAGTCTCGCTTGGGGCAGCGAGCCGGCCTCGCTCAGCATCAGCGCCGCCGTGGAGAGGGCCACTGGTGACTCCACCACCGGCTCCTCTCCCCCATCTTCTCCGGCCTTCTCCACCGTCGCCCTCACCGCCTCCTCCTCGTCGTCCATTTCTTCCTCCGTCGCGTCTCTCCACTCGGACGACGCCGCGGGGAACTTCCAGGCGGCGCAGCCAATCGAGACGGTTTGCAACCCCAACAGCGTCTACCAGGTGCGGGGGGGCGGGGGGTGCCTGGCGGGGTTCGGAATCGGATTATTTGAGATTGCAGGAGGAATCTGATGAGAACGTTACAACAACAAAAATGATGGTGACGCGAAGTACAGGAAGACGGGTAAACGCCTTGCACGGATGGACATGACATTTAAACCATCCCCATCTTACGGAGCTATTAACTTTATTTTTCAAAAGCGACCCTGGCTACCGCAATTGATAGCTCAACCAAAGTGGGGCCCCATCGTTTGGAATTTTATAGCAGCAAAATAATCCAAATATCCGAAACGCACGTTTTTCTCAAATGTGAAGGGGGTTAAAAAAAACCCAGAGGACTCTGACGAAATCCACGCGACCAACGGGGTGACGCAAACTCCAAATATTAAACAGCGGGCGTCTCGCCGGCTTATCACAGGGTGCCTGTGGTGTTCAGGCTTCGCTATCGAGGCTAGTTCAGGCGGTGATAATTATCAACTGCTCACCATCCCGATTGTAAACACACGCGGTAAGCCTTCTATTATTTTTATAAAATAATTTTGTCTGCTACAAATGTCCAAATGAAACAATTGATATCTTGGTGTGCTTTACCTGGGTAGGATGGTTTAGTGTTGTATCTGTTTTCTTTAATGTTCAAACGCCAAATATATACTAATATAAAAACGATTTTACCAGGTAAGGGCCCACCTGAGTTGCGTAGTTTTTTTTCAGAAGTAGCCTGGCTGCCACACAAGCTCAACGAAGTGGCTTTAGCGTGTGAATTTATAGCAGACAAACGCTGTAAAAAAAACACGTTTCTAAACGTGGAGGGGGAAAAACCGGGAGGCCCGGAAAAAAAAATCCAGGGAGGGACGCGCAAACTCCAAATATACATCCATAATAGAGGTTATTGGGTTGGATCACGTAAATCTAGATGCGTCGTTAAACCCGCCAACAGCCAATTAAGGTTTATCAATTAAACTAAACGTGTAATTCGGTAAGAGTACAGCAGTAATCGGTTGGGTGTTGCACAGTGAACTCGCAACATTTACAATTCTAGTACCGTGACGTTTCACCATTAATTACAACCGGCATCTGGCGATGGATCGGTCGCGACCTCCCGCATACTAGGCGAGCAAGATGGCCTCTGGCCGCCTATTGCAAGGCATCAAAGTCGACAAGGACCACACGTGCTTGTGGCCAAAGCATGCAAACACGCACACTCTGATAATTGAACACTCGGGAGGCTTTCGCCAACAAAAAGAAGTCCTTTTTGGGTTTGATCGTGTGAATATAAATGTAACGTTGTACTCGAATTGTAAATGTGGTGGGCTTACTCTGCAACACACCGGTATGAACTGGTAACCAAAATGGCACGTTTGTTCATGTGACAAACCCCTCGCTAATTGGCTGTCCGGGTGGTGGCAGGTTTGACGACACTTGTATTTTCGTGTCGCTCGAACCCCAAAAAACACCACCTGGAGCTCTGATAACGTTTTGTCACCAGGTGTCTGTGGTTAATTCAGACTTTGATGCCTTTCCAAGAGGTCTCTACTTTGCGTTTTAACATCTTAAGCACTTCCGTTTTATTGCCAGCCGGGGTTAAATGTCTGTTATTTTTGTTATTTTGATAGCACTACCAAAAATGTCCCATAGACTGCTAACGTGAGTTTTTTTTTTTTTACAAATTGCAATTGTTTTAACTTTTATTTAATGCGTCCGTAGTTGCGCGTAATGCGGCAATCCGCTGTCTTAATGCGCTCCTGCACGCTCCGCCCCTCCGACCCCATGTTCAGGTGCAGCAGCAGCAGCAGCAGCAGCAAGCCCGCGCGTTCTCCGCATCGGTGCCGTCGTCGCTGTCATCGTCGTCGCTGTCGTCCTCCGCATCGTCGTCTGCCGCACCGGAGTGGGGATGCTCTCGCACGGACGCCTCTCTGCTGCTGTTCCCCTCCTCCACCGCTGCGTGCTTCACGGCGCTGACTCTGCCTCCCCATCTTCCTCCTCCCCCGCATCATCCTCCCACCCTGGCCGCCCGCCCTCCGCGCGGCTTCCCGGGCAAGGCGGCCCCCCGCCTCTGCCTGCCCCTGCGGCGTCGCGCCGAGAGGCCGCGTCCCTACGACGGCTGCCGTGGCGGCAGGAGGGTGCGAGCGGGCCGAGGGGCCGACCGTTTCCACTGGGTCAACCCGGCCACCCTCGCCAAGGCTGCGGCCACCGGCTGGAGGCCCCTGGCGGTCGACGCCTACAACCCCGTCTACTTCTGCTGAGCGCCACCCCAGGTGCGTTCGTCTTTGGTTGTGTGTGGGTGTAGTTGTGTGTGTGTGTGCGTTGGGAGTGGTAGTGTAGTGATTAGCGCTACGCTGCACTATAAACCTGTTCATCCGAGTTTGATTCCCGCTCACGGCCAACACCGGTGGGCGATCATCTGAAGCGGTCCTGGGCCTCCTCCCCTAGGGCGACTCGGCCTCAATTTGAGTACCCGGTGCGATGCGTAAAAAAAACATTGCAAATGGGGAGACAAAGGCGGTGTGGTGTTGGCCACCCACCCCATCGTGTGCCATTCCGGCCTTTATAGGTGCTACTTGCTATAACAGCACTTGCCCCAACAGTCTCTTCAGGCTACATGGGGATCTTTATTTTTGTCTTTTGATGGGGAGTGGTAATGCACAAGTTGGCGTTGTCCAGTGCTGGAGACCCAATGGTGGTCTTGAACGGTAACCCCGAGAATGCCGCTCCCGATTTATCTCAATCGGTCCTGGGCTTCCTTCCCCCCCCCCACCCCCAAGGTCGACTCTGCCTCAAATGGGTACCTGGGGCAGTGTATAAAACATCGCTACTGGGGGAAACTAAGGCGGCCAGAGATGGTACTGGCCACCCACGCCTTTGTGTGCCACAGTGCCCGGCCGCCATCAGTGCTGATACTCGCTACGAACAGCGCTCGCCCCGACAATCCGTTGGAGGCGATTTATGGGGGGGGGGGCTGGAACTCTTGGTTGCTGCCCATCGTTTGTGTGCGTACAAATGTCGATTTGTAAAGTGTGAACGTCTTTGGCACCGTACGTAAGCCAACGTACTAACGGTGCGGGTCCGTTCCCCAAGGCAACGCGCGGACCCTCCATGACTCTGGAGCTGCCGCTGCTGCTCCACGGCACTGCTCTTGGTGGGGGTGGGGCCTGGGTGGGGGTGGGGCCTGGGTGGGGGGCGTGGTTCGTGGGACGGGGGCGGGGCCTGGGTGGGGGGCGTGGTTCGTGGGATGGGGGCGAGGCCTGGGTGGGGGGGCGTGGCTCGTGTAGCCGAGTGCCATTGTGCACTGCCAAGATTAAGTTATCGAACCCTGGGCCATAATAAAAAAATATATAAAAAATACATTTGAGCCACATTTGGAAGTCGGGGTGGGGATAACTTTCAGCTTCGTGTCTTTTTTAAAAATGGTTTGAATTGTCTTTAACTACTTTTGCCGTGAGGTTTTTAAGCCATGAGGTTCAACTCGCACGTGAAAGCACTACATTCCAGGAATGGATAATCAACCAATCTTAAAAATATATTCTACTTTAATAAAGACGTCCAATAGCTCTTTAAGAACACTTGGCGTGCGTGACGGCTGGCGGTAATTGTGATTGTGTCGCCTTGCCATGAATAGTTTATATATTTTTTTACAGTAGTTTTATGCTTTATCTGTTTTTATATTGGCACTTTGATAAGCATGTTTACACAATGAACCACCACTCTCACGGTGTTTTTGTAGAGACGATTTGGATGCGGTGTTGGGCTCTGCACTAACTCACCCCCTGGGTCTGCAGATTAATGTGTGCATCGATTTGATTAACATCGCGTTTTAGAAACCGACAGATCCGCGATTGGCGTTCGAGAGTTGTTACACCTTCATTATTGAACACACGCGTGCACACACCAACGCATGCACATGTATTTTAAATATTCCAAACTGCGTTTAAGTTTGCCTAATTGCGTTCAGAAATAGAGTTTTATTTTATGGATGTTTTGGGGATTGGCGGGTAAAAAGATGACATTGTATGAAATAATAAAATGCTGGACTTTTTATAAATTTCTTTCAATCTTTCCCGGTTTGCGAATTCCCATCGTCGTGTGCATGGCCACTTGGCAGTGGTCCCCCACGAGCCGCCGCCAGACAATTATCTCTATACACTGCACGATACACGACACCTATATAATACACTATACTACTATACACTATACTAGTAACCAATTGTTTAACGTGACGAACCTTACTGGCTGCGTCAGATGGTGGAGGGGCTACGACGCATACTTGTGCGATGTAACCCAATAAACCTTTTGTGAGCACGTTTCTTGCTCCAATACTCAACTTTCATTTGAGGGCACAACGCTCTCTCCCTGTGGCCCAGGCTTTGGTTCGCGATGCTTCAACTTCATCCTCCCTCCAAGCGGTCCCTTTGCCTCGTGCTCCCCCCCCCCCCCCCTTTTTATATCCCTCGGGTGCATTGAACATCGCTAGCACTGGGGAGACAAAGGCGGTCGGGCGTGGCACTGGCACCCCCTGTGCCACAGCACTGGTAGCTTTCATAGGTGCCGCAACGACTCTACTAAAAGCACTTGCCCCTTATAGTCTGTAAAGGCTATACGGGGGGATATTTGTCCGTGTGTAAAAGTGTATCTGTCTATGGGGAGACAAAGGCGGCCGGGCGTGTTGGTGCTGGCCACCCCTCTGTGTGCGCCACCAGTGGCGGTCTTCACAGACTGCTGCTAGCGAGTAGCAGCACTTGCCTCTGCGGCCCAGCTAGAGGCTACCCAGGGCACCTTTGTCTTTGATGTAAACGCGCACGGATGACGCGCCGCGTGGCATTCCCCGGGGTTCGGAGACCCCCTCCAACCCCCTACTCCTCCCCCCTACCCCCATCTACCCCGCTCCACCCCCCATCCACCCCCCTACCCCCTCCTCCACCCCCCACCCCTCCTCTGCCCCCCCCCCAGGGAAACCGAAGATCTGTAACGAATCTGATCGGCCCGATATAGCGGCAGCATCGGCAGCAGGCATAGCGGGGATACCAGAGAAGGCAGCACCCACAGTGACTCACCCATAGAGATAGTCACTCATAGACATCACTCTCACCCATAGTCACTCACCCATAGAGATCACTCACCCATAGAGATCCTCACTCACCCATAGTCACTCACCCATAGAGAACTCACTCACCCATCGAGATCACTCACTCAGCCATAGAGATCCTCACTCACCCATAGAGATCCTCACTCTCACCCATAGAAATCACTCTCATCGAGATACTCATAGATCCTCACTCACTCATGGAGATACGCATAGAGATCACTCACTCGGAGGTCACTCGCCCATAGAGATCCTCACACAGACACATGCACAAACAAACCCGTAAATATCCTCATTCATAGAGATCCTCACTCGTAGAGAGCAGGGACAGACGGAGACAAACACAGACGGAGCGACAAAGACACAGACAGAGACACACACACAGATATATAGGGAGAGACAGAGACAGACGAGAGAGAGACGGTGAGAAGTTGGGGGATACTGGATGTGGTGGGCTGGGCGGGTGCCCACGTAACCGCGATGGGAGCCAGAGAGGAGTGCTGACAGAGCGCTGATTCTTCTGGCACGGACAGCGAGGTAAGGCACAGAACCCGACGGACATATACACACATAGACAGACATGTGCACACATAGACAGACAGACATGTACACAGACAAACATACAGACACCTAGCCTTATACACAGACACAAGACAAAGATCCCCCATATAGCCTTAACAGACTGTAGGGGCAAGTGCTGTTAGCGAGCACCTATGAAGGCCGGTAACGGTACACGAGGGGGTGGGTGGTCAGCACCACGCCCGACCGCCTTTGTCTCCCTAGTGGCAATGTTTACACACCACACAAGGTACTCATTTGAGGCTGAGTCGACCTAGGAGAGGCCCGGGATCGGTTAAGATAATCGTCACTGGTGTTGGCCGTGAGCGGGAATCGACCCCGTGTCGCCAGGTTCGTAGCGCAGCGCGCTAACCGCTACACTACCGCTCCCCACATACATACACACAGACACACACACAGACACCTAGCCCTATACACACATACATACACGTATAGACCTCGTCCTACATAGACATACATACACCTAACTCTAGACACACAGACACGTACCTACGCCTATACGTACATACGTAGACACACAGCCATACACACAAATGCAAAGATCCCCCGTATAGTCTCAACAGACTTGGGGCAAGTGCTGTTAGCGAGCACCTATGAAGGCCGGCACTGGCACACGAGGGGGGGGGGGGGTGGCCAGCACCATGCCCGGCCGCCTTTGTCTTCCCAGTGGCGATGTTTACACATCGCACCAGGTACTCATTTAAGACTGAGTCGACCTAGGGGAGGCCCAAGACCGGTTCAAATAATCGTCACTGGTGTTGGACGTCTAACACACACACACTGACCTACCACACACGCCTAACACAAACGCGCCTAACACACACAGACCAAAAACACACACGTCTAACACGCACACGCATAACACACACTGACCAAACACACACACACGTCTAACACACACGGACCGAACACACGCCTAACACACACACACATCTAACACAGACCAAAAACACATACGTCTAACACGCACACGCCTAACACACACACTGACCAAACACACACACACGTCTAACACACACGGACCGAACACACGCCTAACACACACACACATCTAACACGCACACGCCTAACACACACACTGACCAAACACACACACTGACCAAACACACACACACACGTCTAACACACACGGACCGAACACACACGCCTAACACACACACGTCTAACACAGACCAAAAACGCACACGTCTAACACACACATGCCTAACACACACACAGACCTTATACACATGCGTCTAATATACACACACGCCTAACACACACATACCTAACACACACACATACGTCTAACATACACAAACGCCGAAAACACACCGACCTTAACACACTCGCACGCATAACACACACACGGACCTTAACACACCACACGTCTAACACACACACACACGCCTAATACACACGGGCCTAACACACACACGGACCTGAACACACACACACGCCTAACACACACATGGGCCTAACACACACACACGCCTAACACACACAGGGACCAAACACATAACTAAAACACACACGTCTAACACACACACACACACGTCTAACACACACACGCCTAACACACGCACACTGATCTAACACACACGCCTAACACACACGCAAACTGATCTAACACACACACACGTCTAACACACACACACGCCTAACAACACACGGACCTAAGACACACGCTGAACACAAACACACACGGACCTAACACGCACACTGATCTAACACACACTGATCTAACACACACACACGGATCTCACACACACTGATCTAACACACACACACTGATCTAACACACACATACTGATCTCACACACACGGGCCTAACACACACTGATCTAGCACACACACACTGATCTAACACACACACACTGATCTAACACACACACACTGATCTAGCACACACACACTGATCTAACACACACACACACTGATCTAACACACACACTGATCTAACACACACACACTGATCTAACACACACACATTGATCTAACACACACCACACACTGATCTAACACACACGGATCTCACACACACACTGATCTAACACACACACACACACACTGATCTAACACACACCACACACTGATCTAACACACACACTGATCTAACACACACACACACACTGATCTTACACACACACACTGATAGAGGTGATGGTACAGTGAGCTCCTGAACATTTGTTTTATTTTCTTACAATTCGTACATCTTCTGTGGTCACATCTGTTGCATTTTTATGGTGGAGGTCTTGCGATTAGCTACGCATCTTACATTATGAGACCTCCTTTGCCAGTAACAAGATATAGGAATAGGTTTTACCCTTTTACCCTTTTTAACCAATGGAGACTAGGCTCTAAGAGAAGCCGTCTCGGGTGTGGGCCAATCAAATTCAAGGACAGTGCATATTATTATCAGAGTTGTCTTTTTTGTCTGCATTTTGACTGC